TGTACAGTTCCATCTAGTTAATCTTTCATTTTAATAATCACGGATTCTCTGCTACTTTGATGCGCGATTATCGCCAGTTCAGCAAGCAATCAGAAAATTTGTAAAACTCGCATGGATCACGGCGCAACTGTTGTTACAGTATTATTACATTGCATGATACATTATTTTTATATCAGTCTAGACGTAGATATTTCATCAAGAAGTGTGAAACTTAGTCTGTTGGATTACTTATACCTCTTATCGTGAGTAAATTAACATGAACGCGTTTATAAGGAAGAATTTTTTTTATCTACATATATAGATACTTATAATATATGTGTATATATCGTTACGCCCGCACGTTTCGCATGGAGGACACATTAATCGCACTGAAATAAATGTGCACAACAGTACAACGGGAATGAGAACTTTATTGAGAAATGACAGAAGTGTTAAAAGCTCAGAACTGTAGGATGTATTATAGAATGAATTTCGATTGAAATTAATTATTCCCTTTTTTAAACACAATAGAAATCTAGAGAAAACGGAATAATTCCGATCAAAATTCATTCTGATTTGTTTTATATGATAGGTGTCCTGAACACAAAACCACTATGTTGTAGAGAGATCCTCTTTTGTCTGATTCCTTGGCGATCGATAACAGGTGGACTGAAGTACGGGAGAGACTTCGGCGCAATATAAATACATATATTTTTTTAGAGATAAGTTTGTCACAGAAATATGCGAGTTAAACATAGATGATTAGAGCATAGGTGAATGAAATATAAAAATACAAAAAGTGCAGCAGAGGAAAAATGGAAAATGTAAATGTAGAGAGAAAGCAGGCCAGATTTTTGTCGCTGCACTTTAAAATTTTCTGTCGTACTGTCTTCAAATTTTAAATATCTATTTTATTTTAAATATGTATAATGTACTAGCAACAAAAAAAGACCTAAATTGTCGAATTTTTATGTTCTTTTTCGAAGTTTAATTTCTGAAAACTTAAATTCTAAGAGATCTAAAAAAACCAATTTTTTCCCTATATATTTGTAAATTTAAGGAAATTTTGTTATCTCTACACATTTAGAATCTTGAAATTCTATACTTGAATTTAAAAATTAACTGAATAACATCTCTTGAATTTAAAAAATTGCAATTTAGTTAATTTAATTCGATTTTGAAGAGGTTATTCTCAAGAATATTAATAATCATTGTAGTTAGAATTGATGGGTCGAGAGAATTGTATTTAGCATATAGGTTGTATAGAAGATAGATCTTTATCGTAAGTATTAGATTTTTATACTCATTGTAAATATTCTGATAAATATGTGTAAAGAGTGTAAAGGCAAGAACGAATCACATCAACAGCGGGTCCATATATTCGTATATTCTTATTGCCTTGCTTTTTCGAAGCGACAGTGCATATCTGTGGATTTGTAAGTGCTTAAAATGTAATATATTATTTTATCAGCAACATGGAATCATTGTCGATAAATTATCCTTAAATAATTTATCCTTAAATTAAAATTATTCAAAATGTATACTTATAATTTAACCAATCTTATAATATTTTTTTAGAAAGAAATCACAAAAAGTTTCTGGAAATGATTGGAATTTACAAAATTCTTGTCTTATGTACATATAGTTGTATGTAATATATGACAAATTTTTATATAATTTTATGTTTACATTTTTTATATTTTCTACCTATGTATAATTATATAAGATATATTTTTTCCCGGATTGTGCGTATAACTTCAATATATAAAATATTTTATTGAAGTTATCAGCTTCAACTCAAGTCAACATGTGTCGTTAAAAGCCATGTGAGTAAAAAGCATCCATTAAACGCATTTGCACCTAGTATAAAGACATAATGTTGCAAGTGTAGTTACGTATATAATCGTTTATCCCTCATAATAACATGAATTAATATTCCGCAAAAAGAAATGCAATCTAATCTAGATTATCTGTGTGCTCATTCTGTCGTTCAATACTTGCTTGTTGAAGGGCATATACATACGTTATACAACATTATATATTTAAAAAATTATAGCGTTATTTTTAAATAATTATAGTATTTTCTATGAAATAACGCATATCACAAGATTTTTTAGCATATATTTTATCTTTTTCAAGCGTCAACTGTTTTTTATTTATTATCAACAATGCTGCACATTTTATTAACGTCGTTAAATAATAAAACATGAGACATAAAGTAGTATATATACCTATAAAAATTCATTCAAGTGTAATATCATCAGAATTGTATCATGGCTTTTACAGGAGATAGTAATAGCATTACATTTCATGAAAAAAGTGAATATCATGTTCAATTGAAACTAAATCCAAAAAGGATAAAGCATTTGGAACTGATCCGCAAGTAGTACATGGGGTTTAATTGTGGACAATTGTCATTACTTCATTTAATTACAGTTAAAACATATGAAACGGTACCAAATTGAAATAAAATCATCCATAACGTAATCTTTATGATCGATTATAACTATTAAATATTTTATTAAATGTTTGATATCATTCTAGATAAAAATATGAATTTTTTTATCAAGGTTGATCCATAACGAGTGGCCTTAATATACATACCTATAAATAAAAATTCCGTGAAAAGAAAGACAATCTAATCTAGATTATCTGTGTGTCTGTTCCGTTGTTCAATACTTGTTGGTTGAACGGCATTGAACATACGTTATATCTCCCAGTGTACATATCTTACAGTGTAGTTTTCACAACGTTGTTAGAGAAAGTGCGAAAACAATTTTTGAAAATCTTATAAAAAATATTAAAACGTGTTTGTGTCTCGAGCAGCAAGAACTAATTCAGTTCAAATATTAGCCGACCACTCGGAAACTATGACAGAGAGACTAGAAAGAGCGCTGGCACCATTAATGACCATCGGCGGGTTCTGCAATTTGGGCATCTTCGAATATCCTGTTGGACAACTTAGGACATATATTTCTTGCCTGTATGCTTTGGCCAATTGGAGCCTTCTTATGTGCTTCTTTTACTATCCAGAATACAAGGGGCGTTTCCAGATAACTAAAAAAATATACATCAATGATATCGTACAGTTTGCCACCATTCCATTAATTCTCATTAGTATCTGTCATTTTAAGGTAAAAATTTAAAATCTACTCCCGGCCACTATATACTAATACTTGATCTTTTAATATTACTTGTCATTTGTTTAATACTATTTTTAAATGAGAGAGCATTAAAAGAGTCTTAAATTCACAATTATAGGCAAATACAAATTTATGAAAAAACGTTTATAAAAGGTTTTCGATACCTTCAACCATGACCTAAAATCAGTCAAACTCAAGCTATGCAGTCTATCATATTCGGCCCTCTCGCTAAACTGTTCGATCCTTACAAATCGCACGCAGCAAGTCCTCATATATAATCCTTTTCCGCTTTCCTCCTCTCCTCGTGCCATTCTCTCTGAAATACTTTAGGGTTCCATTCTCGTAGTTTTACTTTTAATATTTTTGTCTCTGATTTGTCTAACGTTTCTGTATCCTCCGATCTCTTCATTTATGCAGACGATGTAATTCTTCTCAAATCCTTTCATCCATTCGATGCTTTAGTAGATTGTTCTGCTTTAAATAATAAGATCTAAAATCTATTCCCGAATAAACAATTCAAGTAGTGAAATATACAAAATTATAGACTTCTTTAATTAATACAATAAAATATAACTGCGAAATTTAACTGGGTGTTAGGAGACTGCGCTGGGTGCTATCTTGCACAAAAATTAATTGTGAATAATAAATTAGATTTGTACGTTTCAGCTTAAGTTTTGAGCCAGCCTCAGTAATAATTACCGCTAATCGCGCTAAATACTATGTCAACCTGTATATCACAAAATCGTAGTTCCCTCCAATTATCCAGTCGCAGTCGAAATGCGGTGAGAAACAACCATCCTCAACATAGTCTGATGTTGTGCCCAACCAGTTGCAAAGCTGAGTGGAGCAAATGGTGGATCTCAAGATATTATTTGTATCAAGATTTTTTGGACGGCTAGAGATTAATTTTATGTTATTTATAAATATTGGCAAAAACTCACCCCACCTCCAACATGATCGCATGCGAATCCAAACATCGTCAATCCATTAAACAAATTTAAGATTCACGATTATCAATGTTCGATTAAAAATAATTTAAGATCCTAAAAAGGCTTTCATGTTTGTTCCGATGTTGGTCACATAGTAACCGTTAAAACAAAAAGAGATGTGTCATCATAACAGGAGTCTATCGGTCAATTATAAAAATAAACATATTATAACTTGTTGAGAATTTTTATGTAATCATAATTTAATGCCTCAGTGTCAGTTTGAATGTTGAGACCATTTGATTGGCGATTTATGTAGAGTATCTCCGACATTGTTCGTTTATTACAATTTCTCCAGAATTCTCACATTATCCCAGTCGAAATCATGACTGCAATACACCCTATGCTCTGTGATAACTGAACGAGTGGGATGTAAATCTACGTATATGGTTACGATGTTTTGCTAATCTCGTTTTTCGTTTTCTTCCCGTTTGGCCTACATAGGAATCGCAATCACGATCGCATTCGATCTCGTAAATCACATTCCTTTTGGAAAATCTTTGCAAAGGATCTTTGTGTATTGTAATAA